AAAGTTGCTCGCAAAAGCCCGTTTGACAGAAATGTTTAAAAAGTGTTGGTTTCCTACGAATCCGCAAGAGCGCGCGGGATGAGATTTTGACATTTTTTTGTTGAAAAACCATTGGTTTTTTGATGTTTTTATGTTAAAATCGCTCCGAACACTAAGCTTTTGGAAGGATTTCGTCTTGCGCGCGCGAATGTCCACTTTACCTTATTTTTTGCAAGGGATTCTTGAAATTTGATTATATTAGAACAAGAAATGTCATTTTATAGTGTTTTTTGCAAGGGAAAGCGGGGGGGAACAAAACAACCGGATCTTGATCACATCGAATTACCTGAGGCTTCCTCACGAAAATGATGAAAATGTAGCTGCGGCCTAGGCGGCGCAGGGGGGCCGTGCACCAGGGGTCCCAACAATAATTATTCTTTAGAATTAATAATGTTCAACAACAACAACAACAACAAGCACAACAACAACAACAACAACAACAACAACAACAACAACAACCACAACAACACCAACAACAACAACAACAACAGCAACAGCAACAGCAACAGCAACAGCAACAACAACAGCAGCAGCAGCAGCAACAGCAGCAACAGCAACAGCAGCAACAACAACAACAAAATTCAGCGGATGCCTGGGGCTGCTCTCAGTAGACATGACGGGAAGATTGCAAGCAACCACCCCCGCTCCAAGAAATCCGATTACTGAAGGGGCTCTGGGACACACAAACAAATAGACACGAAGAACAGGATCCCCCATAGATTCCCACATGTTCTGGGGGTTTGTCTTCCCCCCCACTTCCCATAGTTTCCTAGATGTTCTGGGGAATCGACGATGCATAGTGTCTGTGTTTTTTCCCCTCCCCAACTGCATTCACCTCGTGCTGTCTGCATGCCACGGAGTTGCTCCTGGCGTTCACCTCGTGCTGTCTGCATGCCACGGAGTTGCTCCTGGCGAGGAGTCGGCTCGGCACGCGAAGGGCTCCAACCCGTTCGTGGCGCCGTGCTCTGGGGCCCCACCAGTTCAGTGTCCAGCTGGGGGTGGGACGGGGCTGGGGCGAAGTTTACCCGACGTGTGCTCTGCAGACAACAAGGGGCCAGGAAGGAGCCGTCCACCAACACGAGTGCCACAGATCTCGGCGAGCTCCTGGCGGTGCCTGCCAAAATCGGAGCCCCAGGCGTGCAGGAAGCGGCGGATGGCATGGCCAAAGGTGCCGGCATCGATACGCTCATGAAGCGCCTGGGCCTTGCATTCGTGAGCTCCGAGGACCGTGCACTCCATGGGTCTTTTTCGAGATCGAGGGCGGACCCTTACGACGACCAGTTCGGCACCGACTCGGAACGAGCTGGCCTGTCCCAGATACGCTGGGCACCTCCATGGCGGAGGGAATGTGCGTTACGACATGCTTCTGGCTATATTCAGGTAGCGCGTATGCGTGTGTTTGTGTGTGTGCTTTATGCCACTTTGTGCGCTGCGTTCGTGGCGCGATCGCACGCCCAGTCCCAAACCTGCCATTCCACTTAGAGGCTGGGTCGGGAAGTTCGGAGGAGATCTTGCCAAGCATTCGAGGGCCACTGCGGCCCCAAAGAGCATGAGACGACCCAAAACAAGCCTCCCATCAACCCCCTCATCTGAGGGGCAACGACAGGGGGGGGGAACTAGCATAGGGGGGAAACATCGACCTGGAATCGGCGATGCATCGCCGATCGATCGGCGATAGGCCTCCGATCGTGAATCCGCACCTTCCTGGGCAAATTGGGACGTTCGGGCCCCTATCGGCGATCAATGGGCGATTGGGGGTCGATGCATCCCCTCCTCTGCCCATCCCCCCCTTATCGTTGCCCCCCCTCATCCTCATCTTAGCACGAGGGAAACGGGTCCCGAGGAACTCAGGCCCTGGGCCCCGGGGGCCTTCACCGCAGGACCAGCGTCTCGTCCTGAATCGTCTTCCGACCGTCCCGGGGCCCGTGGAGGGTCCAAGGAGGCCCCAGAGAGTGAAAAGACAGGACCCGTTCTCCTCAGAACTCCGTTCCTTCGTGGCGATCCTCCTCCTCCTCCTCCGGAGCCGCCTTGCACACGCGGTTGAACCTCTCGAACGCGTCCATCCAGTGCCACATCATCTGCTTGGCCACCCGCACTACCTTTTGCGTCCCGAACAAGATAGTGGCGAAGAGGGCCGCACCGAGAGGGTCTCGGGCGAGCCCCGAAAGGGCCCCCGAGGATCCCGCAGGGCCGCTAGAGATTCCAAGATGACTCCAAGAGTTCTCCAAGAAGCTTCCAAAGCCACCAAAACATTCGCGAAGGCCTCGGGCTATATGGTTGACTCCTATCGCCGTCGCCGTCGTCGTCGACATCTTGGAATGTTTGTCTAGATGAGCTGGTGGGTAAACATGAAGCGTCCAGTTGTTTTGGCGCGCGTCCAGCCGTGGCGACGAGAAGTCCCCCGGATACAAAGAAATAGCGGGGGGGAGGACTGCCCTTGATCCTCGAGTCTATAGATCCCACTCCCCCATCTCTCCTCCGCTCGAGTCGGCTCCCACCCTCGCACAAAGGAGGACCAGCACAAGCAGTTCAGACATACGTGTACTTATCTCTGTTGTATGCAGATACACCAGATGCTCAGATTACAGTGATGACCCCAACTGCACACATCCGCCACCGTGCCCTCGAGGCACGAGTGCCCAACCCCCGGGAGCCTCGGCCCTCAACCCAGAGCACGGGCAGCCCGTATGATAAGGATGCGCGGCAAGGATGCAAGGGGCCTTGGAGGGCCGTGCCAACGTCTTTCGAGCGAGGCTGGCCAGCGAAAGTCGCCAAGGATGGGCCGAGGGGGAAGGATGCTCATCCTCCTCCTCCCCCTCCTCCTCCTTCTCCTCCTCCTCCCCCTCCCTGCTCCCCCTCCTCCTCCTCCTCCCCCTCCTCCTCCTCCTCCTCCTTCTTCCCCTCCTCCCTTCTCCCACTGGAAAATGGCTCGTCCTCACTCTGCGGGCTGACTGTGTTCTCATAGGGGCTCTTGCACGTCCGAATCTCCGGGGGCTTCGCGCGTGGCTCCTGAGACGCGCCGCGTCTTCCCGCATATGACCTGTTCGGGTCCGAGAGGGCCCCAAGACGGGCCACGAGGGCCCCAAGAGGCCATGCAGACGGCCCCAGAGGGCCCCGAGTCGCCGAACGATCGGCCCACAAGTCACCCGAGATGGCGGCCAGTCGGCCGACAAAAAACACCGAAAAAGCCCCGAGAGGCCTCCAGGAGCACCAGAGCCCAGAGAGGCCAAAATCATGAATCGTCCAGAGGTGTAAGACGGCACAAGAGGCCTTCCAAAGACGGCCCAAGAGTCCTCCAAGAGGGCCCCCAAAATGGCCCAAGAGGGCCCCGAAACGGCCCAAGAGGACTCCAAGACATTTCGAGCCCACGGCGCGAAGGAGCCCCCAGGAGCCCCGGGAGGCCCGCAGGAAGCCGTGTGAGGCTTCCGATAGGCCCCAAAAGGCCCGCAAGAGGCACCTAGGAGGTCCCAAATGAGGCTCCCAAAAAGCCTCAGCACTGCCCCCCGAGGCCCCCGAGAGCCCTCCAGAGAGATCCCAAAAAGCATCTCGGAGAAGTCTGACCCACAAACCAGGTATTGTGGCGGGATGGGCCGAAGGCCATGAGATGTACATTGGTGGTTGCATGTGTATACGTATGCAAATGAGCCTACGTATATGTACGTATGGTGTATGCCTGCATGTATCTACATCTGGATACGCCTATATACATGTTCACACACATATGATTATACATAGATATGTACACACACACACTGAAACCACGCGCACCTCGCACGCGCTTAGGCTCTAGCACGTTACAGGCGACGACACGTCACAAGGGCGGATGACAAACTGGACGATGGTGATAATGATAACGAACAGGGCGACGAGGAAGACGAGGAGAAAGAGGAAGATAACGATGAGAGGATGGACAAGGAGGGAGAGAGAAGGGAAAGGAGGAGGAGAAGGAGAACGAGGAGGTAGGCGGGGAGCAGGAGGAGAAAGCTGAGGAAAAGAAAGAGGAGGATGGAGAGGTGAGGGGAAGGCGGAGGAGGAGAGGAGGGGTCAGAAGTGAGAGGCAGATCATTATCTTGGGGGTCTCTGGGGGACCTCTGATCCCTGGCAGGCCTCTTATGCGCATCTTGGTGCCTTTCCTGGATGGGAGATCTGTGGACCTTGGGGGGCGTCTGAGTGGGGTTCGGTGCATGGGGGGTACTGGGACCATCTGGGGGAGTTCTCCAGCTGTCCAGAGGGTACTGGGATCCTTTTGGGTAATGCTTGGGCCATGTTCGGCCTTCCGGGATCGGTCGCCGGCCGCCTTGAGGCTGTGTTGGGAGAGTCCTATGTCGCCTAAGAGGCCCCCAAGAGGCTTCCAAAGGCGCCCAAAGATGTCCAAGAACGCATCCAGAAAGCCACCAAAAGGCCTCGAGAAGCCTCCCCAAGAGACTCCAAGAAGCCTCTCAAAGAAGCGCCTTGTCCAAGACCCAGGCTGGCCGCAAAAGTGCCCCAAGAAGCAATCGAGAGGCCTCCTCATACTCCTCGTCTTCCTCCTCCTCCTCCTCCTCCTCCTCCTCCTCTTCTACTCCATCCCATGTCTTGTGAATAACTCCTCCCTGTCGCACCACGAAACTTGTCGGTAGGGCGAGCTGGGAGTTTCGCCTGAGACTTCCTCAGACTTCCTCGCCATTTCTGATCCTGAAGCTTGAAATTCACAACAGTTTCAAGGATGGAGGGCGAGTGGTTTTCAGAACATGGTTATCTCCTTATGGGCGCCCGTAGCCGCGAAAGTACCGCATCCGCAGCAGACGCAGTGTGTCCTGAGCCGAGGAACGGCGACGGTACGAAAGTTTCTGCGGAGATACCAGAGACTGATGTGAGAGACCGTGATTGCTGATGCCGTTAGTCCTCTCTTAGAGTCTTTCGCGCTTGTTTAGAGGCCTCCTAGATTGGGTCCGAGTGGATGTGGTCGGAAGATCGCGCCGCATCGCCGATACATCGGCGGCGATGCATCGGCGATGTATCGGCGATGCACCGGCAATGCACCAGCGATGCATCGTCAACGTCGGCGATGCATCGGCGACGTCGACGTGGAGGAAATCGGGCTCCACATCGAGCCACATCGCCGATGTATCGACGATGCGGCGCGATCCTCCGACCCCGACTACTCGGACCCTGTCTAGGAGGCCTAGATTGTTCCAGCCTCGTGTGCGTGCTGGGCGTTCCTGGAATCTTCTGAGCCGCGTTGGCGCCGCGCCGTGGCGGGACCACTGAGAGCCAGAGGCTCCATGGACGTGGGCGGTGGAGCCGTCTTGGGGCTATTCCGGGGACCCTCGTGGGCCTTTCTGAGGGCCTCCTGAGGCTCTAGTGGGCCGTCTTGGGGCACTCTTGAGCTGACTGGAGTCATCTCTGGCCGTCTGTGGATCCTTCTGGAATGTTTGCATGATTTGCGCATTGTCGCCCTGTTCCTCTTCACGACGCCCCAGACGGCCAGGGAGAGACCGCCAAAATCGGCCCGAAACGGCCCAAGAGACCGCCAAGAGAGCCCCAAAGACGGCCCCAGAGGACGCCAAGAGAACCCCAAGACGGCCCCAGAGGTCTCCCAGAAGGCCCCAGATGCCCCGAAGACGAGACCAAGAGGCCCGAAAGACGGTCCCTAGAGGTGCCCGAGAGGAGCCATCCGAGCTGGCATGTCGAGCCTTCCATCCCACGATGGCCACAAGAGCCTCCAAGAGGCCCCCGAGGCGCCCCCGACAGGCCCTTGGAGACCCCCAAGAGGTCCCCCAAAGGCCCCAAGAGACCCCGAGAGCCCTCAGTAGAGAGGGCCCCAGGTCGAGCCAAAAGCACCGTAGTTGCCACGAACCACTCTCGCATCTGTTGCGGCCCCGGTGCGGTTCCACCTTTTACGACCGCTCCGCGCGAACCCCGCGCACCCTCTCCGTGCGCGAAGAACGCAGGGGAGAGGTCGCGATCCCGACGCGGCTGTTCCAACGCTGAACCGGCCTGCAAGCGTTTGCCATCCTTGCTGTCGCAACGCTCGAACACCTCGGCCCCCGCTTGAACGCGTCAAGCGCCTTCGGAGGAATAACTGAGAAACAAGGTTCGAAAGATGAACGGAAATAACTAACAGCGTCGCACAACTCAACGAGCGCCGTCGCTCCTTGACCCCCTCATCTCCGTGGATTTTATCCACGGGTCCACACCACTACATACATATGTACATATATATATATATATATGTATAAATATATTTATATGTATATATGTATATGTGTGGCGACGTCTCGTTTGTTATGTCACTTTCTATTGGTCCCCAACTTCCCCCGGCACCGGGGGCAACCCAAGCAACCACTCCGTCAATGGCGCCTCTCGGACCACGTCTTGGAACCCAGTTGTGCGGGCGTCTCAAGCAAAACGGGCCAGAGCACCTCAATTAAGGGCATCTTGCAATAGCCCAGGATTCGGAAGATGTCTCAGCAAAACAGGCCTGAGTACCTCACGATGGAACCCAGAGTTATGAGGATGTCTGAGGCGAAACGGGCCAGAGCACCTCGCGAGCCGCAAGCCCACAGGTGTGAGTTGCGACGATGCTTCAAGCCAGCCGGGCTAGAGAACCTCAAGTCAGGGCACCTCGGAGCCCGAGGTTCCGAGGATATCTCGAGCGAAACGAGCCTGAGCATCTCGTAAACCGCATCTTCAAGCCAGACTTGCAAAGACGTCTCAAGCTGAACGGTCAGAGCCACGCACACACACACACACACACACACACACACACACAAGCAGCAGCAAAGGACGCAAGGGGCGCAACCTCTGGGTGCAACAGCCGCCAGGCTCCCTCGAGGACGTCGTACTCGACCCTGGCCTCGACTTCGCCCGCCCTGCGCGCGGGGGGGGACGACGACGACCCCCCCCCCCGAAAGCAACCCGGCGGCCAGATGGGGGCCTCCCAAATTGGGCCAGAGCAGATCTTCAAGCGCGTTCCACTACTCGCAGAGCAACTACTCGCAATGGCCCGGCTGGGCCGCGGGGGATCTACGGTCCATCACATCGGAGGCAGGCCTGTGGCTCTTCGGACGCTTGCGTCTGGGCACATTGCGAATAGTGGAACACGCCCGGTGAGTGGATGGGGTCGGAGGATCGCGCCCCATCGACGATGCATCGCCTATGCAACGCCGGCGATGCATCGGCCACGTCGGCGTGGACAGAGTCGGGCTCCACATCGAGCCGCATCGCCGATGCATCTAGCCGCGGCGCGATCCTCCGACCCCATCTACTCCGTCCTCGTTCGGGAGTCCAGGATCAGAACAGAAGAGATCCGCAGCGAACAGAAGAAAGGCAAACAAAGACTCCGCCGAGATTGCCTGTAGAGGGGGAGAGGGGGTTACCCAGGAGTGCGGAAGGAACGACGTACTGCCCTGCCCCCAACCCAAAAAAAAAAACACAAAAGCGAGGAGGGCGGAGCGATCGACCCCCCGAGGGATTCCACACGCTGTCGTCATCGTCGTAGCACGATCAATCAGCATCGAATCAACAAATATGAACGATCCCGAACGTGCGTCGGATCGGGCTGCACCCGCACGGAGTCGGAATCGGATCGGATCGGCTGCGCCAGGATTCACAGCAGCGCCATGCAGGCATCGGGCCGCACTGGATCGTCGGAACATCGGAATCGAATCGGGTTCGGGCTGGCCGAAATCGATATCGAGTCGGATCGATCGCATGGTCGTCGTCCGACTGAAACCCGCTCAAAATCGTTGTGGATCGATCCTTGGACCCATCCCCGAGAAAGGGGCCCCAGTGCACACCAATGAGTAGACAAGAAGGCTAGGATCCCACACATCCTTCCAGGCTTCCTGGAGTTTCCTCTTCCCCTCCAGTTCCCATATTCTCCCAGATTTCTTCGTGGAAATCAACGTTAGCCCGCTTCCTTCCCATGCCTTGCGTTGCGAACAACCACAGCGGCTCCAGCGACGAGGGCGCGGACTGCCACCAGCGCCCCAGCGGGGAAAAGCAGAAATCTCAAGGGGGGCCAGGGCGGGACAGGCGGCGCCCCCCTGGTCCGAGCCTGCTGCTGAGGCGCAGGGAAGGGAGATCAGAAGCAGAGGGCAGGAGGACAGCGCTCGCATGGGGCGAGCAGTGCCGACTGTGCCTCACACCTTCGTGCATCGGCGCTTCGCTCGTGTCTGCGCCCGCTATGCTTGGAGGCCTAGAAATGGGCACCAACACCAACACAAGGGGTTGCCTCCACAGGGGGAAGGGGACCCTAGATTTCGGTGCTGGTGGCAATACTTCGGTCACCTTGGAAGCCAGAATATTACCACCATCACCGAGATCGGGAGCTTCTTCCCTCGCTGGAGGCACACCGCCGATCTTGGTGTTGGTGTCAACCTCTAGGCCTGCGCCATCCCCCCTGCCCCAAGCCCCACCCCGGCAAGGCGGCCGCGCCGCGGCCGGCCGTCCCGACGGGAGCGCCCCGCCGGGAGGCCCAGAGCGACAGGCCAGAGGCGCCAGAGGGGACCCAGGGAGGCACAGACCAATCGGCACAGCCTCCAAGGTTCTCCCAGCTGTTCCCGTTTCCTGGGCTTTCGGCTTCCCCTCCCTTCCTCGGGGGCGCGCAAGCATGGGTTAGCGATCCATGGATTTGGCGCGCGGTCGCCGAATCCATGGATCGGGGGAGTTGCCCTCCCCAAAATGCGGCCGGTGCCGCCTCGCTCGGCGTCGGAAATCCGCGATTTTCCATCTAGACGGGACCCGCCACTAATCCACGCCCACTTAATCCATGTCTGCGATCGCCTGAGTTTCCCGTAGTTTCCCCTGTGCTCGTGCAAATCGACGATGTGCTGTGTCTGTGTCTACTTTCCCCTCCTGCGACGAGGACGCCGCCGTCTCCCAACACGTCCGATGCACTGACTCGTCCAGTCCGCAAGCCCAAAAGATGTCGACCCTTTCGCTTGGAGAGTGATTTTTTATTCCTGGGCAATAACGGGCGTTACTGGGGGGAGGGGGGGGGGGGCGCTGGTTGCCAGTAACGTCACGTTTCTCGCCGGCGCAGTCTGGGAATGTCTAGGGATAACCAAAGCCAACTCGGAGGTCAGCACGAATCGTGACGTTACCTTCGGGGGGGCAGGGGGGCGGCTGGGGCCGGTAGTGGACGCTTCCGCGGAAAATGGCAAACACTCTCTAGGGGCGTCGTCGTTCGTACTGGGCACGTTTATGATGGCCCAGGGGCCTGCGAACAGGCCAAGTTACGAAACGGGGAAGGGCGAGAAAGAGGTCAGGCGAAGCCAGGACGAGGACAAGTTCGAACGATGATGAATCGAGAATCTCTGAGATCTGGCGGCTCGAGAGGATGTGTCGGGCGCCGCGGCCCTTCTGGAAGGCTCCAGGAGCGTTCTGGAGCGCTCTGGAACGGCTTTCTCCTCGTCCCAGCCTCGCTCGGAGGGAATAGATCGCCAAGCACGCTCCATCGAGGTGAAGAGCCGAGATGTGACGCGTGGCACGACCTGCTCGCAGCGTCGCCACACAGAGAGTGCGGCGCAGGCGAGGTGGAGCGCTTTGCTGCAGACAGCAGCAGCAGGAGGAGGAGGAGACGTTCTACCCACGCGCAATTCTGCTACAGTGGAGGCCAGTCCACAAGAGACCTTCCTCAAGAAGCCGAAGCCTGAGAATTCGGAGAACAAGATCATTGTTGCAGATACCCCATGTATTCTAAAGCAAGACAGTCTCAGCAAGAAATGCTCTAGGAACATGTCGTGAAAACCACTAAGCTTAAAAGGCTCTTGGAACATTCCTTGGTGGGCCTGTAGGCAAACAAGGACGCTTCGCCACTGCTTGGCAAACGGAGACCGAACTCTCCTTGCAGACTTTCTCCCCACGGACCTGATAAGTATCCTCCGAGCCGGGAGGGCACAAACCGTCACCGGGCGACCTGGCGCCACGATGCCTCGCGGCGCTCACGCTCCTCCCCTCCCGGGCCGCGGGCCGCCCATACAGGGCCACCGGCGCAGCCGAACCCCGACCGGACCGACCGCGAGGCCGAGACCGGCCGAAGCCGACAGTGTTCGAACGCGCGCCTCCTCCGCTCCAGCCCGCGGCGGTTTCGAGCGGTCTCTCCTGCGACTGCCGTGCCCGCCCTGTGGCCGCGGGGTCGTCAGCGAAGAGCGGTTCGGAAGGGATCCGAGGGAGCGGTCAGGGCAGTAAGCGGGCGAGCATTTGTGCAGCATGAACTCTGCCGCGATCGGGGGTGCCCGTCCCAGGACAGCTGGGAAGTGTAAATAACGCCGTGGGACAAGCGCCATCGATCGCAGAAACACGTATGTCATGCCGTTCCTCGCCCGCTAACTAAAAGCTCACGGCGCAATGGAGGCTCCCGCGAGGATCGTGTTTGTTCGGATGCAGGGACTGCCAAACAGCCAGAATGCCCTGCCAACGGCGGATCAGCAGTGTCTGTCCTCAGAAGACAACAGGGAACCTGCCATCTCGCGCCAAAACGGCGACTGAGGAAGAAGAGGAAGAGGAAGAGGATGGGAGTAACACTGACACAATGCAAGGCAGAGAGGTCAGATTGAAACTTTCACCTGGCGAAGAACGCAACCATATGCAGTTGCGAGCACCACAATTGCGAGTACGATCTGAGGTGAAACTCCCTATGGGACATCGCACGCATGCGAGCTGTGCCGCTGGAACCTTCGGTGGAGCTCCCCGTGGAGCCACAAAACGTGTGAGAGGTGTGCCGAAACGGGAGGACGCCCACATGCGAGCTGCTTCCACTGGGGCCTTAGGTGGAGCTCCCTGTGGGGCCACGAAACGTGTGAGGGGTGCGCCGGAAAAAAAGGAGTGTCGCCCACATGCGGGCTGCGCCACTAGACCTTAGGTGGACCTTGTGGGGCCAGGAACTCTGCGAAGGGTGTGCTGGAACGGGGGTGTCGCCCACATGCAAACGGTGCCACTGAGGCCTGAGGTGGAGCTCCCTTGGTCACGAAACGTGCGAGGGGTGTGCCGAAACGGGGGCGACGCCCGCATGCGAACGATGCCACCGAAGCCTTAGCTGGAGCTCCCTGTGGGGCCACGAAACGTGTGAGGGGTGTGCCGAAACGGGGGCGACGCCCACATACGAACGGTGCCACTGGGGCCGTAGGTGGAGCTCACTATGGGACCACGAAACGTGTGACAGGTGCGCCGAAACGGAAGTGACGCCCACATCCGAACGGTGCCACTGGGGCCTTAGCTGGAGCTCCTTCTGGAGCACGGGGATGACGTCCGCATGCGAACGGTGCCACTGAGGCCTTAGCTGGAGCTCCCAATGGGGCCACGAAATGTGTGAGGGGCGTGCTGAAACGGGGGCGACGCGCACGTGCGAACGGTGTCGCTGGGGCCTGAGGTGGAGCTTCCTATGGGCCACGAAGCGTGTGAGCGATGTGCCGAAACGGGGGCGACGCCCACATGCGAACGGTGCCACTGGGGCCATAGGTGGAGCTCCCTATGGAGCCACGAAACGTGCGAGGGGTGTGCCGAAACGGGGGTGACGCCCGCATGCGAACGGTGCCACTGGGGCCTTAGCTGCAGTCCCTATGGGGCCACGAAACGCGTGAGGGGTGTGCCGAAACAGCGGGGACGCCCAGATGCGAACGGTGCCACTGGGGTCTTAGGTGGAGCTCCCTATTGGGAAACGAAGCGTGTGAGGGGTGTGCAAAAATGATCACGTCGTGACGATCATGTCGATCATGTCGATCATGTCGATCATGTCGATCACACGGGGCGTGTGGGGGTGACGATCATGTCGACGATCACAATGATGATGATGCTGATGATGATGATGCTGATGATGATGCTGATGATGACGATGATGATGGTGATGATGATAACGATGATGATGATGATGATGATGATGGTGATGATGATGATGATGGTGATGATGATGTTGATGATGATAATGACGATGCTGACGATGATGATGTTGATGGTGATAATGATGGTGGGTATGACGACGATGGTTGTGATGGTAGTAGTGATGGCGATGGTGATTATGGTTATGATGATTTTATGATTTTGATGATGATACTGATGATGAAAAGATAATGATAATGATGACGATGGTTATGATGATGTTGATCGCACTCCCCTCAGCGCGCACAATCCTCTGATGAGCAGCATGCGGACCCCTTACCGGTTCTTCGCAAAAATGGCGAGCACGGGTTGAGAATAGGCCCGAAATACAATGGTGCCCCACCATTCCTGCGCGCGCAGGCGAAGGTTATCTCTTGGAACACCTCGGGCTTCATGGCAACTCGTAACATGGCGGCCTGGCTCTCCAAGGACAGACTCCGCGGTGGGACATGATGATTATGAATGTGATGATGATGATGATGATGATGATGACGATGACGATGATGATGATGATGATGATGATGGTGGTGATGATGATGGTGATGATGATGATGATGGTGGTGATGATGATGGTGGTGATGATGATGGTGGTGGTGATGATGATGGTGACATGCGAAGAGCAGAGGCAGGAAAGGGAGGAGGGAGGAGAGGGAGGAGGAGGAGTGAGGAGTGAAACGCGGAGAGCTGTCTCTCCAAAACGAGGACCCAACACTACAGGATGGTTGGGAAAAGATGGAGTGCGGCTATGGGAGAGGACCTTTGTGCAGAACTGTTGGGGGCACCATCCCACACTGGGCCAACGACAAGCCACACCCCGAAAGAAAAGACAAGCAGACGCTGCGAACACGACCAGGGGGGGGTTAACAAGGAGTGAACAACAAATGGCCAACGAATCAAGGTCGCCATGGACGGCTACTCCCGAAGCTGTTGCTCGAGGCTAGCTCGGAAAGCTAGGCGAGGCCGATCAGCACTGGGAATGCGGGACACTTTGAAGGAGTGGTAGACGCTGCAGACCAACTCCAACCAGCAAAAGACAGATGTCAGCTGGTCAGTAGGAAGCAGCATTCGACCATCGGAAGAGGAGAGCAGGGCAGGAGGGAGCCGCAGAAGGAGCGGGACTCAACAAGAGGACACTCAAGAATCAGAGCTGAACCTAAAGGGTGTTTTTCGTTCTCGTTTTGTTTTCGTTCTCCCTCGCTTGTGTCTCGAATCCGCCTTTACCGCAAAACGAAGTCGAAACGAAAACGGCCCACGAAATCACAAAAAACACCGTTTAGGTCCAGCCCTGCCACGAGTGTGCAGGAGGGAGTCACCAGCTGGGCTGGAACGGTGTGGCAAAACAGGCAAAAGACTGCGCGTGACTCCGACACCGGCCAGAGGTGCACCCAGGCGCTCACGGCGGCCCGACGGGCAGAGGCCATAGCAGCGTTCGGCACTGCCCAGGCCGTCCTCCGGCACGCCAGCAAAGAGCTGGGCCACGCCACGCTCGCTAGCTGGGCCCAGGTGCCGCAGGAGGGGGAGTGTGCTCCTCCAGTCGCCCAGGAGGTCCCCTCCTCCTCGGGCGTCAAGGCCGTCCCCCGCTCCTCTGCCTCATCCAGCGTTCCTCCTTCTCCTCCTCATCCAGCCGCTCTCCACCAACTCCTCCATCCTCCTCCCGCTCCTCCGGTCCTTCTGCTCCTGCTCCAGTCCTCCTCCTCCTCCTCCTCCTCCTCCTCCTCCTCCTCTTCCTCCTCCTCCTCCTCCTCCTCCTCCTCCTCCTCCATTCCTTCTCCTTATAAATAACTTCCCCCTGTCGCACCCCGAGGCCAATTTTTAGGGCGGGCCGATCGTTTCGCCATGTATGACTCTGAAGCTTGAAAATTGGCAACAGTTTCCCAGATGGAAGGCAAGTGGTTTTCAAAATGTGGCTCTCGCCTTAGTGCCGCGACCTTTCGTTCTTATTTGCAAGAGCTTCACGGATTGAAGATAACCCGTTTTCAAAATGTGGCTCTCGCCCCAGCGCCGCGCACATTCGTTTAAAAATTTGCAAGAGCTTCACTGATTGAGGATAACCGCTTTCAAAAATTGGCTCGCGCCTTGGCGCCGCGCACATTCGTGCTAAACATTGCAAGAGCTTCACGGATTGAAGATAACCCGTTTTCAAAATGTGGCTCTCGCCCCAGCGCCGCGCACATTCGTTTAAAAATTTGCAAGAGCTTCACGGATTGAGGATAACCGCTTTCAAAATGTGGCTCTCGCCCCAGCGCCGCGCACATTCGTGCTAAACATTGCAAGAGTTTCACGGATTGAGGGCGGTTCCTTTTCAACTTGTGGCTCTCGCCTTAGCGCCGCGTACATTCGTTTCAAAAAGTTGCAAGAGTTTCACGGATTCACACGTAAAACGTACCATAAATTGCGTCTTGGAAGGATTCAGGATTTTACAGGTGCAACAATTACGTTGATTCGCGGTGCTGAAACCCAAAAATGGCTTTCTGGCCCGATCCAAGACCGTCAAGACACAACAGTCAGGCTGATCCGTGGCGTGAGAATCCCGAGAAGAATGTTTTGGCATGCTTCCGGGTCCTCATTGCCTTCCAACGAGGCAGACCCCTCAATGGAAATGAACCGCTGTAGCCTATGAAGAGGGAGCTTGGAGGGAAGGTGAATTCCAACATCATTGATGGCTCTTGGATTACACTGGTCCTCCTCCTCCTCCTCCTCCTCCTCCTCCTCCTCCTCCTCCTGCTCGTCCTCCTCCTACTCCTCCTACTCCTCCTCCTCCTCTCCTTCATTCATCCTCCCCCCTCCTCCGACTCCCTCATGAGAAACCTCCCAAGTGGGGTCCGAGTAGATGGGTCGGAGGATCGCGCCGCATCGGCGATGCATCTCCGACGTCGGCGACGCATCGGCGCCGTCGGTGAGGAGAACATCGGGAGCAACACAGAGCCGCATCGGCGATGCATCGGCGATGCGGCGCGATCCTCCGACCTCATCTACTCGGGCCCGCATCTCGGAGACCGAGACTTATTCGCTCCTACTCCCCCCTCTTTCTCCCGGCGGGCTGCGCTCCTCAGCCTTCTGCCCTTGACCCGCGGGGGGTCCAGCTCGACCGGCTGCTCACTGCGCGTAGGGGGGGGGGGGACCCAGCGGCAGGCAAATGGCGGTTCCGCCAAGGATCACGGGCGGCAGCGAGGGCTGTTTGAGCGTGCGCCCTCCTACTCTTCAGGCCCGCTGCACGAAGAGAAGAGCTCGTAGCGGCCCTGGAAAGCATAGAGGCATCCCAGTTACGGCTCAGGAATCGAAACTCATAGAACGGGCCCGAACAAGCTTGGTCGCTGCTCGCTCGGAGCGGAGCGTACAGGTGCTTTTGGAGCACACCGATTGGCTTACAGCGGATAGCGCGGAGCGCCGAGAGGCCTCCGGGGGACATCCGGGGCCCTCGGGGGGCCTCCAGGAGCATCTTCGGTCTCCCCCCCCCCTTTCCAACCCCTGCTGCTTCCTCCTCCGTCGCCTCCCCCATCCACCTTCCTCCTCCCTCTTCCCTCCTCTTGAAGCACAAGCGGCCAAAGGCGCGTCGATCCCTTTGGCTCAACCTCGTCATGGTGTCGAGCCTCGTGCCCCCCCTGTGGCGCTCGAGGGACCCTAGGGCTGCTACAGACACTATGCGCGCTCTCCCAAGCGACAAAGATGGAGCAAATTTTGGTCGAAGGGTCGAATCGTTTGTATACAGTTTTATGTGCGTCGCAATCCCGAGCATCGAACGTTACAGGTCTTGGGCGAAGGCAAAGTATGTCATCGCTGTGCTTATCGGTTGTTGTCGCGACTCCACAATAGATTGCCTTCGGTCAGGTCGTTATTGATTGTGCTTACATTCCTTGTGCATCACCGGCGCAATCCATCCCTAGGGAGACGGGGGCCGAGGTAGCGGCGTTTTGCTCACTCCTCCCACCCGTTCCTGGGTGTGTGTACTTCAAAGTGGTGGGTAGCGCAGATTGTGCAAGGAGGGCGGAAATATACCTGGCGGCGGACCTTTTGTGATTGCTCGTGTGCGGCAGTCAGGCTTCCGAGATTCTAGTCTGGTACGATGGCTTTTTGGCTAGCGGCGTGCCGTCTTTGTCGTATCTCTCGGCGCACGTGCGGCGTGAGCTCAATCCTTCGTGGCACAACAACGCGAAGTTCTCAAATGATTACATCGCAGGATTTTGTCGCGGTGATACCCTGTGTGCGCTGGTGGACATCCCCTTCCTGGACCTCAGAATTGTGTGCTTGTGTGCAGTATCTGCAGTGGTGCCCACTGCGGCCTCAACAATAACGTGTGAATGCGTTGGTGGTGTTGCCGTGTGCTGGTGGAGGACCTCGCGGTGGCTACATATTACTCTTGGGTGAACAACAGCACTCTCAACGTGGTCGTCTCCACATTCTTCCGTCGCCTGAAGAAGTTCGAAGATGGCAAAGATTCAAAAAATAAAACGTGCGATAGCGCGTAACCTCGCGCCAGCCCCCCTCCCCCAACAGTACGCCATCCTCAGCTTTCCGCCCTCCCTCCTCCCACCCTGCCTCCCTACCTCCCTCCCTCCATCCACATATGCCCCCTCCTCCCTCTTAAAAAAAAACCTTTTTCCTCATCATCAGACTCAGCATCCTCATCCTCATCCTCATCCTCATCCTCATCCACATCATCATCATCATCATCAGCAGCAGCATCATCATCATCATCATCATCATCATCAGCAGCATCATCAAAATCATCATCATCATCATCACCATCAGCATCATCATCATCAGAAGCATCATCATCAGAAGGATCAGAAGCAACGTCAGGATCAGCATGACCGTCGGCATCAAGAGCATGATGTCCATCGTCGTCGTTATCGTCATCGTCATCGTCATCGTCGTCGTCAACCTCGTCATCGTATCCGCCATCATCATCGTCATCCTCATCCTCATCGTCAACATCGCCATCCTCATCATAATCATCATCAGAAGCATCACCACCACCATCATCACCACCATCCTAATCTTCAGAATTATGTCATCATAATCATCATTTTCATTACCAGCGGCAGCATCATCACCATCGTCCTCCTGATCATCATCAGTATCAACATCATCAGTAGCAGCGTCAGAATCAGCATCATCATCATCATCGTCATCATCGTCGCCGTCGTCGCTTGAGTCTGTCGCGGGAGGCTGGTTCGGAGGTGCGCCTGGACGTCACGACGGAAGGCCATGTATACTCCATCCGGCACTTGAGCCGCCAACTCCATCTTAGTGAAAAGGTTTGGCCGTCAACTCTCCTTTAATGAAACGACTTGGCCGTCAACTCTCCGAGTTGACGACCCCCTTGACGGCCTCCTTCCGAGAAGACACCCCCTTGACGGCCTCCTTCTGAATTGACAAACACCCGTGGTGGCCTTCTTCCAAGTTGACAAACCCCCTGGACGAGCCCCTTGACGGCCTCCCTCGGGGGTGACGAACCCCCGAGACGGCCACCCTCGCCGCACCCTCCGTTGTGACGAACAAAGCGTCGGGGCCCAGCTGATCGTTAAAACGACCTCGGTCTTGACGAACAAGATGTCGGGGCCGAGTTGGCGTCTCCTCTCGTCTTGGCGAATGAAGTGCTGTAGCGGAACTGACAACTGCCTTCGTCTTACGTAGTCTTGGGGCCGAGTTGATGTCTGAAACATCCGGGCCGAGTTGACGACGGTTGAGGGCGCCTCTCCAGGCATGCGCCGTCTCAGCCACTGGACTGGACCCAAGTCATCGCCATCACCTCCGTCATCACCATCCACCCAAACGGTCCGTATCCACCAAACTCACCGTCGTCATCACCAGCATTGCAGTCATCACCATAAAAAGACGCAACATCAACATTATCATCCGTATCATCGAAATCCTCCTCCTCCTCCTCCTCATCCTCTACCTCCTCCTCCTGCTCATCCTCCCGCTCCTCATCCACCTCCTACTCATTAGCATCATACAATCGTCGCCATCAGCAGCAGAAGCAGCATCATCGGCACCATCGTCATCATCAGTATCATCAGCAGCAGTAGCATCACAATCATAATCATCGTCGTCCTCGTCGTCACAGTCATGATCAGAGTGGACAGCATGAGCAGCAGCAGCAGCATAGACACCATCGTCAATCTCATGGTCATCATCAGCACGATTAAAATAAACGTCATCGCCGTCGCCATCGTCGTCAGCAGTACCAAACTCACCACCATCACAATGGTCATCGTCATCATCAGCATCATCCGCATGATCTGACATCATCATCCTCATCATCTGCATCATCATCAGCATCAGCATCATCAGCATCATCAGCAGCATCAGCATCATCATCATCATCATCATCATCATCAGCATCATCATCATCATCAGTATCATAATCATGATCATCATCATCATCAGCAGCAGCATCATCAGCATCATCATCAGCATCATCATCATCAGCATCATCATCTGCATCATCAGCATCATCAGCTGCAGCAGGAGCATCATCTGCACAAACAGCATCATCAGCATCATCAGCAATCTCAGCATCATCATAATCATCAGCAGCATCAGCATCGTCGTCAGAATCCTCATCAGCATCATCATCGTCGTCAAAATCCTCCACCTCCTCAGCATCAGAATCATCATCAGCATCATCATCAGCATCATCATAATCATCAGCTGCAGCAGCATCAGCATCAGCATCAGCATCAGCATCATCATCGTCAGCATAATCAGCATCATGATCAGCATCAGCATCAGCAGCATCATCCTCATCATCATAATCAGTATCATCAGCATCACCATCACAATCACCATCACATCAGCATCATCATCATCATTAACAATCACCATCAGCATAATAAAATACTCACCATCATCACCATCACCATCACCATCGCCACCCTAATCATCATCGTCATCATCAGCATCATCAGCATCATCAGCATCATCAGCTGCCGCAGCAGCGTCAGCATCAGCATCATCCTATGCAGCATCATCAGCATCAGCATCAGCAGCATCAGCATCATCAGCATCATCAGCATCATCAGCATCATGCATCAACCTCAACGCCATTATCATCGGTGCGTCGTCGACGTCGTCATCAGAACCATCCTCCCCTGACTGCTCCCCATTCCTCCTCCCCCTCCCCTTCCTCCCCCCTTCTTCCATCACCACCCCCTCCGCCTGGCGCTCCGTTTCCTCGCCAGCGGCCTCCGACGCCCCTTCCAGCAGCCGCTACCTTTGCTTGATCCGCCCCAACGTCACCGTGGGGTTCGCTGGGCCCGTCGTGCGATCCCACCAACTGCCCCCCATCCCCGCGGTTGCCAGCCGGGCGCCTCCTCCTCCTCCTCCTCCTCCTCCTCCTCCTCCCCGCATCCTCGTCCTCACCCTACTGCTCTGGCAGAATCAGCGCCTGCCCCTCCTCATCAACCTCATCATCGTCGTCAGCGGAACCATCCTCCACAGCACCGTCCGCATCCACAGCACCATGATCCGCCCGCTCGCGGGGGCGAGAAGGCGTGTGAGACAGTCGCCCCCCCCCCCCTCCCCCGACTTCCCCCGCCCCCCCCGGGGGGCCAGCACACCGTTTTTGAGGGGGGGGCGGGGGGCGGGCTCCGGAACGTTCCCCCGGGAGGCCTCGGAGCCTCCAGAAGGCCTCGAGGGGGCCCTAGCAGAGATCCAAGGTGGTCCAAGAGAGCGTCGGGACGGCCCAGGGTAACCCTAAGACGGTCCAAGATGACTTCGAGACGGCTCACGAAGCCCCACGAGCGCCCCATGAGTGTTGCCAGACGGCTGCCGAAAGGGCCCCACGAGACAAACATCGCCCCAATCCCTCAGGGAAATCCGCCGATCCGGCGTGGTAGGTTAAGAAGTCTAAGCTGACGCTCTGCTTCAGCATGAGCTTTAGCTCGGCTTGGGAGGAGGGGAGGGGGGGGACCTCATTGACTGTCGAATTCAGTGCTCGGCACCTCCCCCCCCCTGCCAGCCAGCCCCCCCCCCTCTCCGTGAGGGTCCGCTTTGCAGGGGGGGGGGACAGGAGAGAAGGGGGGGGGGAGCTAGGTGCGCTTGCGTCATATCTGACATCCTACCCCTCCCTCCCATCCCTTACCATGGCGTAG